GGGGCCCATGGATTTGTGGATGTCAAGTTTGCACGAATGATCTCTAACCCAATCCTCCTCCACCAAGGGAGAGCCTTCCTTTCTCCAGACTTCCTCTCTTGCCTGGAGAGGGTCTGGAATTCCCGAGGGCTGGCCTTAGCAGTAAAGACTGAAGCAAAGGCAGCATTCAGCAACTCTGCCTTCTCTGTATCCTTTGTCACCAGGGCACCCGCCCCATTCAGCAGCGGGCCCACATTTTCCCTAGTCTTCCTTTTGCTAGTGATGTGTTTGAAGAAGCCCTTCTTGCTGTCCTTGATTGACATCCTTTGCCAGACTTAATTCCAGAGGGGCCTCAGCCTTCCTCCTCGCATCCCTGCATACTCTGGCAACGTCCCTGTATTCCTCCCGAGTGGCCTGTCCCCTCTTCCACATTCTGTAGACTTCCTTCTTCTGCTGGAGGTTTGCCAGGAGTTCCTTGCTCAGCCGTGCAGGTCTCCTGCCCGCTTTGCTGGACTTCTTCCTCAGAGGGATGCACTGCTCTTGAGCCTGGAGGAGGTGATACTTGGCTATTAACCAGCTCTCCTGGACCCCCCTTCCTTCTAGGGCCCCGCCCCATGAGATTCCTCCAAGTAGGTCCCGGGAGAGGCCAAAGTTCGCTCTCCTGAAGCCCAGCGTTGCAATCCTACTCATTGCCCTGCTTCCTCCTCGCAGGATCCTGACCTCCACCATCTCATGCTCCCTGCAGCCAAGGCTGCCCCCAACCTTCACATCTCCAACCACACCTCCTTTCTTTGTTAGTACAAGGTCCGGCAGCACACCTCTCCTCGTTGGCTTCTCCACCACCTGGGTCACAAAGTTACGATCAGCGCTCTGCAGGAACCTCGGGGACTGTTTGTGCCTAGCTGTGCTCTCTTCCCAGCAGACGTCAGGGTGGCTGAAGCGCCCCACGAGAACCAGCGCCTGTGATCGTGAGGCTACTTCCAGCTGTCTGTAGAAGGCCTCATCGGCTTCCTCTTCCTGAGCGGGTGGCCTGTAGTAAACCCCCACCACCCTGTCACCCATGTTAGCCTGCCCTTTCATCCTTACCCAGAAGCTCTCCACTTGCTCTTCCTCCACCCCGAGGCAGAGCTCCACGCATTCTAGTTGCTCCCTCACATAAAGGGCAACTCCACCACCACCTCGCCTTCCTGGCCTTTCTGCAGGGTTAGGGAAAACGTGGAACTGTCTTAACAGCACTAGCAAAATAAAGGTGTTTGATAGCTCTTTACCCAATAAAACAAGTGCCAATACAGCAACTCAGGTTTATACAGAAGAGCTGTCCCCAGTCACTCAAGACGCAATTCCTTCCTGGCCTTTCTGCAGGGTTAGGGAAAACGTGGAACTGTCTTAACAGCACTAGCAAAATAAAGGTGTTTGATAGCTCTTTACCCAATAAAAAAAGTGCCAATAGCGCAACTCAGGTTTATACAGAAGAGCTGTCCCCAGTCACTCAAGCAGCACTTAAACTACACTGTTTAATGAATGCCTCTGTGGCTAGATTTCCTGATCGGCCAAACTGTGTAGGTCTAACAGCACACTCCACATATGCTGGGAAAATAGCAGGATAAAATGCCACATGAAGAGCCTCAGACTGCCTGATGTTCATGGTGCTTCATGGGACCTCATCACCAGAAGCATGCCTCCCAGAGCTGCCACGTCCAGCACCATGTACCTTCCAAGGGCTGCCCACAGAGGCAGCATCAGTGCTCCCTCCTCCCACAGTCCCCCCAACATGCTCTGCAGCATGAACAGAGCACTCCAGTTTCTTATGTCCCACACCCCAGAGGAACGACTCTTGCCGCAGAAGGATTATGGCCAGGACTGGAATTAGAGGGGAACCAGGGGATCCTGCTCCAACACCACCAGATGAGCACCATGACAGACTTCTGGCTAGTATAAATGTCTAGCCATGACTCTTGGCAGCCCATCGCAAGACTTGCATACCTGTCACTGCAGCACCCCTCAAGAACTATTATATACAGATCCTGCTCAGCCTTCTTCTCCATCTCTGCTGATCCAGCCACTCTCCCACTTCTCAACAGGGCCAGCATGGCTAGCTACAGATTTTGAGCAAGCAATGTATGGGTGTATGAATATGCAGGTTGACAGAAACAGGGAAGGCAAGCAGCAATGCTCTTTATTTGTACACAAATCATTTTGCACAGATTCTGAAGTGCAATGCCAGCGTGTTGCAAAAGGATGAAATGGTGCATAGTCTCTTGCATCCTTCACAGGATAGCCTGGTCTATAAGCACACAGGAATGCAATGGAAGAGTCCAGTATGGTCACTTCTTGGAGACAAATAGCGTATGACACCACAGGGCCTCTCCCTACTTTCAGCCAAGCCCTGACTTCTCTGCTCTGCTCTCCACCACAAGCCAGTCCAATCCTTCTTGAGATAAGGACGTGGCACGCATTGCATCATATGCAGAAGCCAGCCTACGTTGGCGCTACACTGTCTTATTTAGTTTTTTTAGGGGAAGATTTGGTCTCTGGGACATTTTCCAGCGACCTGTCTCAGCTGAGGGGATGGATGCCATTTGCCTTTTTCCTGTCTGGGTCGTTAATCAGAGTGCTTGGTCACACAGTCCCAGTCTTGATTTGGAAACTGCTCACAAAGGCCAGAGCAGAGCATGGCCCTCTTTGCCCCATGTCATTTATAGCCATAGGCTGTGGGCAGCGAAATGTTTCTAATCTGTAAGACATTGCTGGGTCACGGTTACATAGCTACAAGGCATCTCTTGATGTTGCCAAGAGCCAACATAGACAGCTTTCTCCTTTCAGGGTATTCCAGATTGTTCTGGGAGACAGGATCTCCTCTGCCACATGTCTTCAGGAATTGCTGAAAAAGCAAAGGGCATCATAGTCTTGGACTAGTTGTGCAGGCTTATTCTTTACCTTTGGTTTCTGTCTGTCTCAGGCATTCTGCTCCGGATAGCGATTAGGCTTTTACCAGAAGTCAAATATATGGCACCTGACAATATAAATCATCCCCTAAGTTGTCCAGCCAAGTGTTTAGGTAGGCCATGAGGACCTAGGCTTGCCATCCTCCTTTGTGTGGGCTGCCAGGTATAGCTGAAGGCGGATCCTTAGGTAGATATCTTAACCCAGGTTCCCCATCTTTGCACAGATTTTTTTGGACCAGCCACTGGCAAACGAAAGTAAGGATCGAGCTTAGTCCTTTATGTAGGACTGTAGAGTGAATACATGGGGTGCAGAGAGGCTAGGTGTAAGGCAAATGCTAGGAAATGCTAGGAAAGTCATGGCTGAGGACTCCGAAGATTTGTGAGGTAACAACTGTGCCTACAGGCACCCTATTTGGTAAAAATCCAATTTCAACATCTAGATTCTTCTTCAACCATGCAGATTTATGTCTTAATGACACAAATTTAATGATCAAAATTGACTGCAATTGACTGCTGCCGTGTCTTCAAACCCACATAGTTATGTAAAATTCATATCTACTATCTATTTCCTGTTGAACTTTACATTTTGGTGGCAAACAGTAACTGCAGAATCTAAATAGTTTAAAAACTATATTGCTGAAAAAGAAAGGAACATAAAACGAACTCAAGCACTAGACAGTGGATTGCTTACATTGCTTCACAGGTAATTTATTT